TGCAGCCCACCGAGGCAGCGGACCCTCTGGGACAGGCCCTCGCTGAGCAACTTGGGTGCGTTTCCCGGCATACATAGCCAAAATAGTCGCTGCGGCGTTAGCCACGGCGCGGGTAGGCCCGTGGAGCCGGTGGCGCGCGTGTCGCTCGCGTGCTCTTTGGGAAACGTTTCCCCAGGTTGTAATCGTTCCTGGCTGCTCGTCTCCGGTGCTGGCATGCAGTGGTCCCGCTGTAAAAAGTAAACGAAAATGCACTTTTCTCGTGCTTTTAATGCGCAGCTGTGTTGAGAAAAGAAATGCGTTAGTATTTAACGCTTCTGATGGATAAAGGAGGTGGCCTCGGAGAAGTGGATGTGCTGTTTAGTGCAAGCCTTATCGTGAGAAGGGAGATGGGTGGTGAAATGCAACCGTTCATTGTCTGCGTTTCCCTACGTGGAAAGTAGACGCCTAGCAGCGAGTGGGGAAGAGTCAGTGCATGGGGCATTCGCGTTAAACCTGAGCGTGAGGCTGTGCGAGAGAGGAGCTGAAAAGGGCAAAGTTTATAATTCTTAGGCAACTGTAAAAGTCTGCAGTTTGAAGTAGTCATACTGTTACAGCAAAGACTGTTTTTGACATAGGCTATTCCATAATTTTCACAAAATTTAGAAGAATATCAGCGTGACTCCGTTTTTTTCACTGAGTTCTCACTCTGTGTTAGTGGCCTCATGAGAGCAGAAGTTTGTCTTGTGACCACTCAAAACATCTGCATATTTACAAATACTGGTCCAGCCCTGAAATACTGTAGAGCTGAGCCTTACCTTATGCAAAAAGTCATACCGGAATCAACAGGGAACGGTTACATGACTAAGAATTGCTAACAGCAGTTACGGCTTCCCCTTAAAGTGAATGTTTCTCCAGGATGCTTAGTACCAAAATTAAAACCCATGATTTGCGAGAGATTTGTTTTGGGAAATACTTTTAATTTCTTCAATGTCTGTAGCGACAACGTAGTTCTTAGCAACCCTAGATGTATTTTACTCCCTCTGAAGCTCCAGTCAATTATTTGTGGACTTGAAGGTAGGAATGGCCTGGGATTTAGTGACTTTTTCATTATTTTTTTTTTTTTTCCTGTGGTTTTGAAAATCTGTTGTTTAGAAGCGACTTTGTTTCATTATCCCTTTACCATCGACCGCTATTTAGTAGCTGAACCTTCCTGGCATTCTTTTTTGGCCCTTTTAGGTAAATACTAGGGAGTGCTTCATGAAGTGGCCGTTACAGATGTCGAGTTCACCATCTCTAATTAAGATACATACGTTAAGATTTGTAAGTCACCTAAATTGCAGAGTAATACTTTTCAGAATGGAGTTTAAGGGAGCGACGTTAGAGCCGTATTCATGCAAAAAGCAGAAATGCAACAGTTACCCTGAGTCCTCAGTCAGTTTTAACGATTGTCATCAGACCCCCACTAACGGTAGTGCTAGAGTTTTCTCACAAATGTCCTTGAATTCCTAAGTAATGCTGGGTGTTTCTTGCCACTTATTATAACCACCTGGAATGCGAAGGGCACCAATGTTCAATCAAAATGCATAACAATGAATGAAGCATTCTTCAGTTCATGCTATACATGCTTGCATAAATAAACAGAAAGACAAGGGAGACGGTATTTTCTGCCTGAAAGTCTTTCAGATCTTGTGTGTCACATGTTAGCTGTCATTTGAAAGTTGCCAACAGCAGACTGAGGGGTTTGGTTGCTTGTCTCAGTTCCTGATTTTTTTCCTTCTTTCTCTCTTTTTTTTTTATTTTTTTATTTTCCCTGTTTAATCAAATTAGAAGTTTTGGAAGAACTGCCAGAAACAAGTGGGAAAACAGCACGGCGTTTCTTCTTTAATTTAACTTCCATCCCTAACGAGGAGTCTATCACCTCAGCTGAACTCCAGATTTTTCGGAAACAGGTGCACGGAGCCTTTGAGAACAACAGCAGCTACCATCACCGTATTAATATTTATGAAATTATAAAGCCAGCCACAGCCACCTCTAAGGACCCTGTCACAAGACTTTTGGACACCAGGTTGGTGCATCATAATGCAAGTAAATGGGAAAGTTTTGATGTAACGCCAGCTGTTTTGAGGTGGATTGCACATGGACAACCTAATCATGGGTTTGTGGTAGAGGTGGTTCACTTGGACAAAGAGAACAGTGCCTCCAAGAGGCACGTTAGGATTAGCAGGTCTTTACATCAGGATGAAGATAGCTGGTCTCAGCTCAGGCCATTATTAGTAACGTTTGGGCATGATGGCAAGGGACACCCGCTTCATAAAAGAGAAAAGCGTCAAGCGAAACACAAACAGCGTAAACGCCACAAATACAGTTGCAAAAGGCATCCGTTATATGTGGACTTCAATGATGTGGGGTGGAATGACTGGATTGTTGCCCCACCGGGGTATAGTGCCTTTTACTGCCACGGGGAATGTCCTTTTCCACTGGCAGATCATCTAAACTCAACAAACCATGCCATTGTTCAGACTTTGGTCAATTCAGTGAATTCCAAAATCCCCAAGGCTTGCTGTGTGCCGACAGAACTGAGTGCTATTTCCATGCTCTACCTTGATGAGAATGAAAAAGTTGTATTAAAGAACTATCAAGATATGGTTGTGGAGGGTTGTGGGTGCCGCTAACACAGCAAATATATTAGACAAATACAAAAAAAAAAAAAAAAAAAGCTGACACTTTAATATTTCCCAATGAAGACTTTATTTATGTAATGAAATGGAAAGAAAAAAAACACAACTATTTTGAAAATATATTTATGTCTACGAAAAAGTTGGGAAAACAAATATTTTAATCAGAGAAATATTCCTTTAAAGATTTTAAATGTATTTTAGTTGTACATTTTATATGGGTTTAACCCCAGCACATGAAGTATAATGGTCAGATTCTTATTTTGTATTTATTTACTATTATAACCACTTTTTAGAAGAATAGCTAATTTGTATTTATATGTAATCAAAAAGAAAAAAATATAGGGTTTGTACATAATTTTCCAAAATTGTAGCTGTTTCAATTGCGTGTATTTAAGTTGAAAAGAATACATGGAAGGTTACTATGGCAAAGTGCATAGCACATTTGCTTTCTGCTGTGCTACTGTTAAGGTCACAAGTTCAAGTCCAGAAAAAAGTGGATAATCCACTCTGCTGACTTTCAAGATTATTATATTGTACAATTCTCAGGAATGCTGCAGGGTGGGCTGTCCAATCCATGAGAACTGGCATCCTCTTTAGGTGGAACATTTGGATAAGAACCAGACGTTGCTGATCTAGTATAAATACTGCTATTCCCAACTAATTTGCAGTGTGAATATAAGAAGGGCCAATAGAAATCCTACGGGAGGCGGGGGTGGGGGAAGACTGAATCCTTTCTAGACCTACAGAAAAGTGAATGTTTTGATGTTTCCTTTAAAAGTCCTTCCTTTAAAAGTCCTGGCCAAATATAAAATAATAAAAACTAAAATGTCATCCTTTTTTTTTTTTTTTTGTGATTATGTATGCTAAAGAGGAACATTTATCATATTTGTACTGGCCCTTGTCTTTAACAGTTTGAAAAGCTTTGCTTACCTCCTCACCTCAGATGAGAGCTCACTTCTGTGGAGTGTTATAGTGAAATTAATCTTCAATCTTTGCCCTGCGTACAGCAAGCTGTTGTCATATGCAGCCTCCTATCTAACCTCAGCTGATGGTTTTGCTGTTTTGCAGATTAACTTGTCTTCCTTTCCCAAGTTTTGTGTTTGAAAGCTTTTTTTTTTTCCCAAAAAATGTTTATTTCAGATAATAAATCATAGAACTCTGATATTTCTTCCTGAAAAGTCCAGTCTGTAAGAAAAAACATGGTTCACTCGTGCAGTCGTCAGAAGGACAATTTGGGCTTACATCTTCCTGCTTTTTAAATCCTTCATGTAAGGGGCAAAAGCATGATTTGCAGTTGGCAAATGCAGCACTAAAGCTAATACTTACTGTGCCTGTTGTACATTAACAGCCTGGCATTGCAGTCAGGTCACTAGCTGTAGAACCTGGGATGAGCACGCAGAGGCTGTGTTGCTTGTTGTGTGAAAGTTGTGCTGAAATAGTAGAGCGGGAAAAGAGCTGAACTTGGCTTCTTGGGGATCCACTGCAAAGTGCACTGAAGCTGGGTTCAGAATGAAATTATGTTAGACTGCTAGTGCTAAGTTTCTGCCTATTTCAGGAGATCTCTGCTGTATTTAGTGGATATAGAATGACTCTATGCTGGTACCTTCAGAGCTGTCAAACCCCCTTGGCGCTCCGTCGTGGATCCAGTTCTGGATTTGGTGAACTGAGGCAGCGCTTCCTAAAGCCACGTGTACAGTTGTCCCACTAGAGACCTCGCTGAGTCAATTCTGGGAACCTCTGATTTGGGTCTCCTACTAGCCTAACTTTTTATTAACAGAAACCTCCTCTTTGTCATGGCCCTCCTCAAACTCCTCCTTTTTAACCAGAATCATCTAGGTTATGGTGAAGGTACTAAGTAGGTTTGTTGATCAGAAAGGCTAACTTGATGATGTCTTACAGGTGGTCTTATAAAAGAGTTCTCTACTGCTAATCATCACAAAAAGCAATGGGTACAGAGGATAGGAGAGGAAAAACTAGTTTCCTGTTGGCTGCTTCCATTTTTCTCTCTGAGCTTAGAGATATCTCAGGCTAGCTGTAAGTTTCTGTGGCGAGATAAAGCCTTACATATTTCTTTGTACCAGCAGTATTTTTAATAGATAGTAGAGAACAATCTCCCACTCTGCAGTTTGGCTCTACTTATTTTTCAGAGGTAGCCGATGTTATTGGTCGTGCTGGTACTACATAGTAGCCTATGAGTTTGCTGGGTGGAATCCTCTATTTGCTTTTTCAAAAGACCAGTGCTGTTTTGTTGGCTAGTGTTTTTAGGGGGGGGAATGTCAGATGTACAGAAGTTTGGTTTGCCTTTTCCTTGTTGCCAGCTTTACTGGTGACGAGTGAGTTTATGGGTGTTGCTTCGGGAAGGTTGTCAGTTGCAGGATATGCCACAGTGAAGGTTCTGCAAGAATTCCTTGATTGCTTGCGATGCATGGTTGTGCCAGTCAAGTCACAGCAGTGCTAGCGTACGCTATAACCTGAGCTTGCAAAAGCTAGACATAAAGTGCTGAAAATTTGAAGACGGCACCATTTCTATGAGCAGGAAAGGTATGATCCCAGACCTGCTGAAATCAGTAAAGACCCCATGGCACTTCTAATCAGATCCTGAACTCCAGTGTTGCAAGGCTTAAGTTTCACAGCTCGTACGCCTTTGTCTGTAACTAGATTGAGGGAGGCTTTTTACGGAGTGGTGACTGCTTTACTTCTCCTCTAAGGCAAGAGAACACGTTCATGCTAATCTTGTTTCAAAAAAAATTGGCTACGACGCTTGTCTATGCATGAACAGTAGCTGGCTCATGGCGTGATGCCGCATTCCTTGTAAAGGCAAACCTCCTGTTGCTTGACAAAGAATTGCATCCTTAGTAAAATACACTGTGAGGCCAATGTATAATTGTAAACCGATTAAGACCCACTCTCGTAAGCATTTCTATACCTGCTTAGTGTTAGTCACAGAATCATCAGTTCCATACTGATTTTGAGGTGGAAATATGCATGTGTCAAGCTCAGCACGTCGATAAATTTCTGCAGAATTGGTTTTGTAATGTATCTTTAAATACTTAAGCCTTAACCTCTCTCTCTAGATTGGAGATGTGAGAGTGCTCCGCTAAAGAGTTTGTTTAGGATTTAAAATAAAAGAAACAAAACAGACTTTCATACATGAGTAGTAGCAAATTCTCCTAGAGATCAGTTGGGTTCCTGAACTCTGCTAGATAGGGTTGATGATCAGACAGTCCTGAAAGATTTGGGCTTTCTGACATCTTCTAAGTCTGTTAATGACTGCTAAATAATTCTAAATACTAAAGGTATATACCGTTACCACAGTACTCATTTTGGTTCTTTAGTACTTACTAGTGTTATAGTGCTCTGCAAGAAGATATGACCTTTTTTTTTTTTCCTCTTAAGAGGAGAAAAAGCAGAAGATCTGGAAGGCCAAACTGCCTTTGTTACCCTATAGCCCATTTCCCTTAAAGATATTGCTTCTAGGCACTTATATAATCTATATAGGCAGAGATTGTGATAGATAATGTCACCCTTTGTGCATTTCAGATAAGCATCTCTCTAAACACAAATGTGATCAGCATCTCTCCTTGTCCTTTTGAGACTCAGTAACAGCTTTGTCGAGTGGCTTGATAATTTTTGCGCAAAATTCAGTTGGACTTCTGTGGTCAGCACCATGTAAAAATGACGCGGGAAGATCTTCAGTTGAGGTAAGCTCTCCCGAGAGCATTGGCCATTTTCACCGAGCAGGATCTGCTCTGCTGTGCTCACCTGGTCTCATCATAATCAGGCATTGAGACCTTTCCTGCTCCTACGGTAGTTGGGTTTGGGTGTCCACCAACTGTCACCTGCTTTCGCCCCTGCTAGGCAGTTAGAGGTCTCCCTTGTGCAATCAGTACGGATGAGGCTTGGAGAGGAACATGATTTATTGTCCTCTCAGCTCTGAAGAAGGAGCTCATCTGGACTGCATTTATATTAGACCCACTTTGCTACACTATTAGAAGAGAATAATTATTGAACTATTTTATTGTACAGCTATTCCTAACTTGTTGATTTTTTGGGGGTTTTTATTGATTTCAGGAGGCAGCTAATTGCCATATGGCAGCTTGATGTTAATGTTTTATGAAGATCAGGAAACAAAAGTTTATGAAAAGCTTTTGTATAGTAACTGCAGAGTTTCAAGAACTGTTTTATACTTCCTGACAGTGCAGGTCTGGCTTAATGGTTTGTTTTTATTGCTTAAGAGTGTAAACCTTTCTTTAGCCGATGTGTGGAAATTATATCCTCATCCCGCATTACGCATTTCTCATTGCTCATTACTCATTCCCTGCTTTCATTTCTGCCATCTGTAATCAGAGCTTTACTGTTTCAACTGCATGCAAAATGCTCCTGTCCTTTGCACAGTGAGATACTTTTCCTCAGCACTCAACCACCCTTTCAAAAAAAAGGGGAGGAGGTAAAAAGGGGAAAAAAAAAAAAAAAAGAGGAAAAGCCTACTCTGTCTATATTGTTTTTCTCTGTTTTGGGTGGAGTCTGTCTTAGATTCTGGTTGCTAGATGGTTTCTGTAGTAACAAGTAGAGAAAAATCCAAGACTGAAAAGGCACTGTTAAAGGTGCCATATCTTGTCTGAAGTGTTATTTATCTAATTGTGGATAGGCAATGTTTCTCTTCTCCTTTATATTAAGGCTACCCCTTTTGGTAGGGCAGACTGCTGCTATGAGAACTTGATTTGTTGTGTTCTTACAACACAAGAACATGAGAACCACAAATCTTGTTCCCAGTTGACTTAAAACTGCTCAAAATAATGATGAAAAGCCAAAAGCATTAAAATGTATTTTTAAAGACATTATAAATGGTTGTTACAGGCACAAACCACTTTGTTTTTTAGTTACATAGGAAAGAAAAAAGAAGCTAGGTTCAGAAGGACACTTGGATTTTACATATTATTGCTGTAGGGAGGGTGTTGCATAAAAGCGGCAGTCTCTTATTTTGTTAGACTACTATGTACAAGGAAGAAATCCCAGCTCCTTCAGAATGTATCCTTACTCTGCTGTACTCCAAATTTTTTGTTTATGTCTCCTAAGAGTTTTTGCAAGTGTGTGAGAAAGTAACCCTTTGTGTGTGTCCACTACATTTGTGCCTTGCTTGGGCGCAAAAAGTATTTAAAAATTAATTTAAGATTACTTCTTTCCTTTCTCTCCAGTACTAATCCTTCATTACCTGTATTCCTGACAGCCTTGTCTGCAACAAGCAGTAATGGTTTCCTAAGGTGGAGTTTCCTCTCTTTTTGGAATCTAGTCACCTGTCAGTGCCCTCTGGGATTTAGCAACCTTCCATCCGCAAGCCTGGCGCAATGGTCACTTAGAAAAGCAGGTACACTGGTTTTGTCCTGGTTCCGTGTCTTTTACAGAGGCAAATTTGTCCCTGCCTTCAGCAAGGATCTTAGTTTGGGAGGGGTCTGCAGGCTTGCAGTCATTGTGCATGGCAGAAGACACCTCATAACACCAGGGACCGTGTTTGTAACTTGCCAGGAGTCTGAGGGCCAAAGCTTATTTGCATCTGTATTTACATAGTGCTGCGAAGGCACTCAGCTGTAATGCCTGCCTGGGCTTGTATTGCCCTTGATAGGTGAGCAGAGCCTGAGAGTTGTCGGACTTCTCCAGAGGCTGGAAACTTGCAGTGGGTCAGCCTGGTTCTCGGCTTGTAAGGCAGGGTAGCGATGAGAT